GGAAAGAAGCCCAACATCAAGGCCATGCCTATCTTACCCTGGGAAGAGGGTTAAAATTGGTAAATTCATTGAGGAGCTCCTAACACTAAGTGGTGGAAATGCTACTATTAGGTCCTGGTCTTGTGATAATGGGGCACATAGAATTGACCTGGAATTAAGGGAGTATCTTCTCAGTCTGCAGAGATCATCTGTTAAGATGAGTCTAAGTGAGGAAATCAGTCAGCTCATCGCCAGTAATGAAAACCAAAGAGTTAGAGTTTATATCAAATTTGAAAGTCATGCTATTCGAAATTCTGAAAACACTTACCTGTCTTGGCAATGGGTCTAGAAGACTACAGTCATAATAATACAATATTAAAATAATAAATATTTGAATCTCCAACAGAGCCAGCCACCTGAAAGAAAAAGAAAATAAAATTGGTGCTTGGTTGTAAAAGATGCATAAATATCTACCAGTAAAGAATATCTATAAATTACACATATTTCACAGCAAATGTGCTCTTCTTTGCAATATAAACTTTTACTATTAAAAAGATAGAGTAAAGAAGGGTAGTCGGGATGATCACATTGCTTTAAAATGTATGTAAAATGCTTAGCCAGTGGAAGCACTTAATGAATGAGATCCCAGGTCTCTCTCCTAAGTTTTATATCTGTCCTTTCTAATATGGTAACCGGCAGCTGCATGTGGCTGTTATTTAAATAAAGTTAAATTTATCAAAATAAAAAATTTCAGTTCCTCAGTTGCACTAACCACATTTTAAGTGTTCAATGGCCATAAGTGGTTACGGGCCACCGTATTGAACAGTACATATTTAGAACTTTTCTATGATCACAGAAAGCTCCATTGGACAGTCCTGTCTGATCTAGACCCTTATTGCCCACTGGAAATTACTGCCTAAATGTTCTGTAGGCACCTAAAATTCCCCATAACTACCAAATTTTTTCCTTTTGTAATCCTGCACTCAGTCTCCAAGCTTTTCGATCATACACCTCTCATAATAAAATGTTTGAGCACACTCTACAATGTATTGATAATCATTTATTTATAGATTGTATAGCATACAACCGTATTAGTTTATTGTCGACTTTGTAGACACATATACATAGAAATTTAAAAACCGAGAAAAGTGTAAATGGAATTCTGCTACATCTCCTGGCATGCCAGTGGGTTGTTCTGAGCTCTCCTTAGGGAAGGCAAACCATTTTAGGGGGAATGGTCCCTAATAAGTACGATTGGTCCAACATCAGAAAACTGTTCATCATCACAGACCCAGTCCTCTCCATTCCCCTTCCTGTCCAGTTAGGCACCGAGGTGTTTTATCTTCCAAATGTTTCCCCAGTCCCTCTCCTTATCCCCTATCTCCAGTCCCTCCACTGCTCCCCAGTGTAGGTCTTCATCATTTATTTATGTCCTGGATTCCTGAATCACCTGGGTTTCCAGATTGGTTGCTTTGTTTCCAGTGTCACTTCTCTCCACTCTATCCTTCACTCTCCCACTAGAGTCAACTCTCTAAAACAGAAATCTATCACTGTTTCCTCATTTTACACACATGCATACACACACACACACACCACCTGTCAATGCTTCTCATTTCCTTCCAAATGCCACAGGGAACACCGCCAGCCCTTGAAGATCTGCTCCCTCCCTATTTCTCTGGACTCCCCTGCCCCATAGCTCCTCCTTGAAACCCCGCATACCTGAGTTCCCTGAATGGTGACGTTCTTGGTTGCAAGCCCTTCCCCTGCCTGAGGCTCAGTTTCCACTGGAGGCATATTCCCTGGTCTCTTGCTTCTGGGCTGAGGTGTCCCCTCCTCTCCATTCCATGGCTCCCGGTGCACATTTCAGCCTTTGTATCTATTGCACTGAACTGTGATTGCTTATTGGCCATCCCTTTCCTGGGGTTATACTGTTGGGCCTTAACACAGTGCAGAGGGCTCTGCTGGTGCCTAATAATGTTGACTGAATAGATGAATAGATGATGGAAGGTGATGCCTCCATAAAGCAGATTCAATTTCCTTACCTTTCCATCCTTGTCTATGTTTCTGTGGCACTTTTAACATCCCTCAACTAAGACCCTTATCCTACAAGCCCACTCTATTACAGTTAATTGTTTTCATGTCTGTCTCCCCTTACAGACTACCATCTTCACAAAAGCAGGAACCATGTCTTATTTATCATTGAATCCTCAATGTTTGTTGATTGCATGAGTGAATGAATGAACATGAATGATCTGCTATTCATATCAGATAATTAGATTTGCTTCCCGCTGGTATTCTTGAAACATCTTGCCTATATTTTATTTCAAATGAAATCTGGACCACTCCAGGTGTTGTTAGGACCTACTTGGATACCAGATCAATTCTTCACGAATATTTGTGATGTAAATTTAATCCTACCTACTTAGAAATGCTAAAGATAATTCATTCCAACTGAGTGTCAATGTCCATGAAATACAACATCCCAATCCTTATTGATTCAGATCAAAGTTAGCAGCGATTCCAATAAAAAGCAATTTTGCTAATTTGCAGGTTCAGAATCTCTCACAACTAAGTTTCTGTCACACTTCTAACAAATTAGGATGTCCACTGCTGGCCACGATGGTTGTCCTCGGGACTTGAGGTTTTCAAAGCAGCCCGTGATGGGCACACCATGTCCAATTTCCTTAAGATACATCCCAATGTTTATTCTTCAGATTCTCTGCAGAATGACTGACTATCACCTTAACCTTATGGGCACATTAAAGATTTCATTTTGTTCTGTGAGACAAGCCATTAGACAGTTTTAAACAAATTTGACTTAAGTTTTAAAAGGATCATTTGGCTGCTACATTGAGAATAAAATATAATGTGCTGCTAGAAGACTGATTAGGAAGCCATTATAATCTTCCAGGCAATGGAAAGTGGTGACTTGGACCAGGATGATGGAATAGTCATGGTTAGCGTCTGTATATACTTTGTAGGATGGCTGATGGTTTGCATGACAGATGTGGAAAACATAGAGTCAAGGACGACTCCAAGTTTCTGGCCCGAGGAAACGCAAGGATATAGCAGTGGGGAAGGCCAAAGCAAGAGCACTTGCGGAGCTCACTTTTGGACCTGTTCAGTGCAGCTGGCTCCAGACAAGTGCCTTGGAGACATCCAGTGGAGATGTTGAGTGGAGGTTGGGGATGAGCCTGGTGTGTGGGTGGGGATTCAGTCAGGGCTGGAGGTACAAGAGATATAAATACAGAGTCATCACTATTCAGACAATTATTTAAAGCCAAGGGATAGGATGAAGTCACTTAGGGAGCAAGTTAAATAGACAAAAATAAGAAATCTGAGAAGAGAGCCCTGGGGCAGAGTCCAAAATTTGGAGGTTAGAAACGTGAGGAAGATGAGCAAAGGAGCCTGAGAAGAAGTAGCCAAAGGGGTAGGATAATGAAAAGAGAGTGATTATCTCCAAAGCCCTGGGAAGAAAGCGTTTCACGGAGGCCGCGAGTTCCGTATCTAACGGGAAAGGTGGCAACGAGTACCCACGTGTAAAATGAAACATTAACATTCCTGC